TTTAGAGCACATCTTTTGCTGCTCTTTCAAAATGTCAGCATTCTTAAAACTATCAGATGAGAATGTCCTTATGGTCAAGAACTTGTGAAGAATGAAATACCTCAAGGTTTGCTGGATGCTCACAGCTGTAAAAGAGATGGCCTGTACACAAGAACCTGAGGTCTAGCTATCAGCCTCACTGTTGCCTGGCTCCTCTGGGCACAGCTGCTGTGGGAGTTGAGAGCTGGACTTTGAGAAAGTCCGGGAGTGTTGAGGACATTCAGACAGGCACTCCAGGCACCACTCCCTCTTTATTAAAGTCTCTGTACTTCTTGCACAAGTGACAATAAAGATCAATTAATTAGGAAAACTGCAGGAAGGTCTGTTGGCTGTAACTGTTGTACATCTGCAGAGGCTCATCTGATGTGGGGTACCAGCTCTGCTGAGAGCAGCTGGGGTGTCAGGAAGTGGCACTGGTAGGTGTGAGAGTGCTGGGTGGAATGTGGGGTGGTGGGGGAGCCCCAGCCAGGCAGCCAGGAACAGGGGGAGGGACAGAAACAGATATGGTCCAGCCCAGCTTGGTATAACAAGGGCACATGAGGCTGTGCATCTGAGATGTGGGGGGCAGGCATATCTTGTGGGAGCTTCTACAGCAGCAGTTGCTTGAAAATTGACAAACTCCATCTTACGTCATCCCTGCCAAGACCCTCTTAAAAAGTCCTTGCATATCCCAGCCTCTCCCCACTGCTCTGGGGACAGCTGCTTACACTGACTCTGTGGTTTTGAGTCAGTGTAAGCAGCGAGTCCGGTGTATCACCTGGAGAAGCTGACTTACACAGCTCATCCTTTATGTTTGTTGTAGAATAGCTTGGGCTCTTCCTCAGAAATGGATGAGTTTCTGTAATTCCTTTGGTGTATGCAGTTAATTAAAATCTCTGGGTACAAAGCTTTTTTGAATTAAACATCTTATATAATTGTTATTATCATTGCCAAAATGATGTTGAAACCCTGCTTATCTCCATCTTATTTTCCTAGTGTGGTTCCTTTGGAAAAGGCATAATAGTAATGAATAATGTGATGATACCACCTTTTCTATTGCTTTAGTTTTCTAGATATGTCAGTATTATCTGTTTCAGCAGTCATCATTGCACGGAATCAATATACAGTCTTATTAGGAGACTACATTACAGCTTAAATTACACTTAGTGATCACCTTGAATTTGCTTCTCTGTCCTCCATGCAAATTCTAAGCCAGAGAGCCATTTGTAATACCTTAGTACTCTGTAGGAGGTGGTATCAGAAGAAGCCTGCCGAGAATCGAGCTTCTGGCAACAACAGCTGCCCGGAACTGCCTGGGGGCCAACTGCAAGGCGTCAGGCCGGCCCCAGCCTTACAGACCTCTGCAGGATTTCCCTCTCCTGGGCCCCCAAAGACCCTCATTCCCTTCTTCCCCTAGCTATCCCTTCCCCCTGAATGAATAAACATATCCTCCTAACCTATCTCTTTAAACCCTCTTATCTGAAACCCCCAGGATTCGATGCCCCCTGGCAGGAACCTACCCCTGTCCCAGAACCTTCTATACCCTCCCTATAAAAGCACCCATGTAATAAAGGAATCAGCCATTTTGCTGGACATATAACTTGTGTGTATGTGTCTCCTTCCCTACGCAAGATGAGCCCTGGGCCGGATGCATGGGCATAACCCCCCCCACGTATCAGTACTCCTGATGTATCTCACCTTTACAAACAACTCAGGTCTTAAAAAATTAAATTTACTCCAAAAAAATAGTGTCCTATGTTCTTAGAAATGAAACAAATCCTATCACTTTACTCTTTCCTAATTAAAGCTGGAAAAACACTCAGTTTATGACTTAGAGACAGTAAAGAAACAATATGCATCACTCACTCTTTCCTTCTGAGACTAGTATCACTGGATCTGCACATCAATATTCTACAGTGATGAATAAACAAATATCAATAGGCACATACAGAAGGCAGCTCTTGATAAACAGTCATTTATGAAAGACTGCTTAGAGAAGCTGTTACGAGTGGAAGAGAGTGACCTCCTGTGTCTTTGGTTTTGATATGAATTTCTACAAGTTGTAAGCTAGTTGATGTGTAAACTAGTCCTAATTAGCATGACTGCACATCAGCTTGAAGCTTTCTCGGTAGCTAATAGCAGTGCTACAACTAGCTGCATGACTGAAGAAATGTGTGGCTGTCACTGTCGTACTACACTGTTGGAATTACAAAGGTATTCTAGTCTATTAGTAAAAGACACTGCAGATTAGAAGACCAGGTATTTATCTATACACAGCTTCAGGTGCAGTAACAATTTCTTTGAAACAGACTAAGCAAAACCATTCTTTTTTAAAAACAATAATTTAAAAAGCTATAGATTTTTTTAAAAAAATATAGATACGGATCTGAGCACCACAGAAGGTGCCTGGTGAGTGCTAAAACAAAGACCAAAGGGCACTGGAGAGAGACATCCTTGTCATCTTTTTGCTACTCTCCTCTCACCTTACCTACATCCATTAGGCCCAGAGGGGTGTGCTGTGCATGGGGCACCCCACCAGCTTTGCCTACCTGCAGTCCCAGCAGCAGATGCCTTTTTGTTTTTCTTTTCAGTTACATTTCTCAGCTTTTCTTTTTCAGGTTTTTCTAAGTCCTGTGGTTTATGTTTTGTTGCTCACCAGAGGGAGATAACAAGAATAAACTCCTTTGTTCCAACCAAGGCAAAAGCACAAGAGGGAAAGATGGCATCCTTCATCTTCCTTCAAATCAACAAAAGGTGGTCTGACAGAATGTCATATGTGTGAGGTTGTGGATTAAGGAGGTGTATTGAGTCAACATGAGGCCAGGGCAGTGTGCTTCATCTTCCTGGCACGCAGCAGCAAAAGACTTGCAGGAGAAAATTTCTATCTGCAGCAATTCCTATACATTTCTATCCAAAGCATCTATTTCTCAGTGGGAAGGAAAGCAGTAATAAATTGTTCAAGATCATGGGTAGCCAAAAGATCCTGACCCTGCAAACTGCATATCAGAATCTACTATAAGCTTTGGGACCAGTTTGCAGGCAGCAGCTTTCTCACAGTTCTAGCACTTCATTTTTGCAGGATAAGGCTATGCTGGGCAAGTTGGTGATGCCAGTCTTAGCAAGACATAATGTTTGCTTTTTCCCACCACAGAGTGCTCAAATAATCTCCTTAGCACTCTGCCCTATGGGGCCTTGAGGACTATTCAAGGCCTATGAGATAATGCAGATCAAGAATTAAAGGGTAACCACTCTGGGCTTAGACAGCACTCTGACCATAAAAATCCCCACTTTTGCTAAATAAAGTTTTTTCAGAAAGAGTTGCTTAATGTACAAAATTCAAAATTAGTATAGAGCCCTTGGTGGCCTAGATCATTAGACTGAAGTTTTTTGTCAAGAAAGGTATTTTTCCCTTTACTCCAAAAATGAAATTACTACATTATCCAATGTCATATTCCACTTTCACTTTAATTTTTCTACTTGAAGACATTTTTATAGAGGTCTGCTGTGGCCACTGCTCTGGAACTGAGGTGACTGGGAGCAGTCTCTAAAATGATTAGGACAGAAAGGGGACAGAGCTCACATCACCTTAGTTAAGGAGACATCTGGCATGAAGCCTCCCCCATCTTAACTTGGTCACTTATTACCTCAGCATTGTTACCATCAGCACTAACAATTTTATGAACCTAGGCTGTCATTTCCCATGCTTTTCAATGGTCTTAAAACAAGTTCCCAGAAAAAAATTTCCTTTGTTACAGAATAACATAAATGCAATCCCCTGAAAATACTTGTTTTATCTCAGTATACCTTCTTGGGTTTTTGGTGGATTTTTTTGGTCAGGCCAGAAAAGAAGAAAAGATAATGCCACAATCTCGATCTATGCTACCAGGCAGCAGAATCAAATCCTGGGTGTTGACTGGAGGAATGGATCTCTCTGGTAGCCCTGCTTCAGGTAGCAGGGCTTCCTCTCAGTGAAACGCTTTGGCAATGCATTCAGTGGAATGCCAGGCATATCAGTTAATATGGATCTCAATACAAAGCATGATTTTTGGGCACTAAAAAAGTCATGCACGTTCCTTACTCAGAGGCTATGCACACTCTTTTCAAAACCATTGGCAAAGGCATAAAGAAACAAAATTATATTTCTTTAAATATAGCATATCTTATTTTCCCAACGTCCTTACTTTGCAGTGAGTTTCTACACATAATGCTGTGTGTTGTACATCATATGTTGGTAGTATTGAAAAGCCAAGCACAAGAGAAGAAAAATTATTAAGTTTATCTCATTATCTTTAGGAGCCTCCAGATAAAACTGTACATGTGTGTTTTCATAAAGCTTTCCAGTTCTCACCATCCAGTAGTAATCAAAGCTTTGTATAAATTCACACATCTTGTCACAAGCACAGAAGAAGTATGAGAAAATTAAAAATGTAATACATGTATATGACCTTATAATTTTGCATATTTTGCTATCTTTGTTTTGAACTTTTGCAAAGGAAGTCAATGCTGTCCTATTAAGAGAGGTCTTTTATATGTGTATGTATTATCGTAGCAGTACTTGCACCAGCAACAAAAAATTCACACATAAAGCTGAGCTAATACACAGAGGGACATTCACCCTCTTCCCAAGAGCTTTGCAATACAATTTAAAATAAATTGCAAGGGAAAGGAATCATCCCTGGGAAGAATAAGGGAAGAGGAAGGATGTGTCAGATAGCACCGAGATACATAAGCCATTGTAGACTTAGCTTTAAGCTCTTCTTTTAATTTCCAATGTAGCAAGCATCTGGCTGTGTGGGTATTTCTGACTACCTCTGATACCAGAGAAAAGCAGGAGTCTGCTCTACTGGAGCTGCACAGATTTCTTCAATGGGACATTTCTCCCCTCTCAATCAAGGCCACATGGTATTTCCAGAGTGCACCCAAAAAAGCTTATCTTCCTGAGAGCCAGGCTGCCTTTTTAAATAAGGGCAGTGCTGGGGTGTAATTGTTTCATGTTGAGGTTTCTCTCTCCCATTGGCCAGGGTTGCCCTTGAGTCAAAGGCCCAGTGCACTGTGCACTGCAAAACTTGTGAGAGGCTAGGTGATGTTCTCATTAAAGTAACTCTGAATCCCTTGGGAACATCCTGACTTTCAAGGAACTCAGTTTGTTGTTTGACTTGTTTTCTTAAGAGAGGCCGCTGGAGAACACAGACAAAAGATTTGACATATGGTGCACACACTGACACACTGGGCAGAATCACAGGATTCATGAATTCTTCTGCACTAACTCACCTACAGCTCTACAGAGAATACAACTTGTAAAAAAAAAAGTCTTAAAATGTTACCTGAGGTACTGCATAGCAAATCGATTAATAATTATTAATCCACTAACAACAACCAATTTCTAAAGTTTAATAGAGTTCTGTGATCAAAAGTTGTTTCAGATGGTTATAGGAACTATAGATTTTAGGAACTATAGATTTTGTATGCATATGTATGTGTTTGATTTCTTACTGCCTTGGATTTTGTATAATCATATGGATATGGAAAAAATGCTGGAAAGCTCCATCAAGTCAGACAGATAGTGACACAGTTTGGATATTTACAGATGACCAGATGGGTGGAGAATCTGATCCTATTCTCTGAAGACAAGGGTGAAAGACCAGGCTCTAAAGCCTAATTTGGACTGCAAGAGATAGGAGTGTTTTTATCAATTAATTAGGTAATAGTGCATTTATTCCAAATACCACTTGTTTTAGTGGCTTCTGAATATATCATTTTAGCAGTCTTTTTTATTTGCAAGTCTCAACAGATCATGCAAAAAAATTAATTGTGTCTTGGCAGTCACAACATTATTCTGCTACTTATTTAAACAGACTGTTGAAAGAGAATTTTTTAACAGCTAAAATCCAAGCACCTGGCAAATAAAGTGTTTTGCAAGGAGATTGGTTATTTCACTTGACAGTTTTATTAAACTTTAATCACCTTCTCAATGAGTGCATTGTTTAGTACCCACTGTTCCTATGGCCCAAATCAGGGACTTTTTAAAAGATGAATACTTATTTTTCTTATTCTGAAGAACAATGCAGTTCTGCTGTCTTTCATTATTAACTGTAAACCAGAGACAGAAATAAAAGGAAGCAATAAAACAAAATTAAAGTGCTGTCAACACTAGATTTGTCAAAAATTTAATGAGCTTTGCCATAATGGGTGTTGATCATAGGTAATATTTCAAATGCCATTCATCACTCAACAAAATAATATACTTTTAGGAGACAGTTTTAACTGTGTTCTGCAATGATGTGGGTAGTTATAGACAAGATTGATGTGTGCTGTGGGCAGGTGCCATTGCTACCATGCCACAATTAAAAGCTATGTGTATTACACAGTGTTAAAGTTGTCTCTTACCCAGTATTTGCTTCACAGAAAGCCTAAGTAACAGTAACAGAACACCCCGCTCAACTGGACCTATCTCCTGATAGCCATTCCTATGGTTTTATGCAGAACTGATGTTTCCCCCCATTTCCCTCTAATCCCCAAATCTTCTCCATGCTGCAAGAATGCCTGTGGCATCTGCAGCTGAGGCATGTTAGAGTCAGTAGGCAAGGCTGTATGGTAAGTCTTGATGACTGGATCCCCCAGCTCTGTGAGCAAACACCCATTAGCAGCCAGGCCTCATGGGAGACAGCCTGTATGACAAGCATTATGCAGTGTTCAAATTTCTGGCATAGGGAGAACAGAGAGACACTTTAATTGCTGTATTGTTGGCCCTGGTACTTAGGAACCTTGCCTCCAGTTATTTTCTAGGAAAGTGAAAAACTGGAAGAGTTTACTGAAGGACTTCCAGGCAGATTTTCCAGCTAAGTCAGATCTTTCATTTGCCTTCAAAGCTTTTTTTGCAACTATATATCTAGTTGTTTCCATTGTTTACTTTCCCTTGTGGGGATGAGAAAATTAGATCTTGCACATCTGCTGGATGCCGTCCTCCACTCATTTCCATTGGTGTAACCAGGTAGTTGCTAAACCTGTGAAAACAAGAGAGGAATGAGTAGTTAGCACAATGACTCACGCCTTGTGGGTGTGCATAAGTAATCTCAGAAGTGTTTTACCTGATGGGGAATCTGCATGGAACCTGATCCTTTGTGTCCAAAAGGAGCTGTGTAGAAATGACAGCCTGAATAAAAAAGCAGCTGACTCCAGTGTGGACTTGTACTTAGACATCCAAAAACTGGAAATTATTTTAACTGCACAATCACCTTTATGTTCCTTGTTACAAAAAACACTGGCTGGCTTTCTTGCTAGCAAGGGTTGAGAAGATTACAACAAAGCTAATAAAAAAAGCAGTTTTAGAGGAAAGCTATGGTATGTCAGACCAAGTCCTTAAAATCTTTGTTGATCCCAGTAGTCTGACTTACTCAACCACTTCCTTCTTATCAGAGTCCTCTTCATCTGTAGGAGTGCCAAAGACTCTGAGAAAATCTGATCACGTATTACCTGGACCAGGCTGTAAGGTTCAATACATTAATATTTCTGAAGCTAAGCAAAAAACATTTATATGTGCTAAGATTTTGCTAAGATTTTACTCCGATTGGCAGTATTCCATATTCTTCAAATATGTAGCCACTGCTTTATTTTAACCACCTTTTGTCACTGATCCATGTGATATCAAGACATCAGGACATCAGCAATGTAGGCCAGAGCCTATGGACTATCATGTGAGGCTATGGCAGATGTTCTGCGTAATCTAATATGGCAAGGGAGGGAAAAAAAGGCAAACTCATAATAGCTATTATCAATGGTTCATGCCACACAGTGCACACAGGACTGGACCTGACACTGACATTGAGTTACTTTGCACTGAGTGGCCCAGGATAGACCAGGAAACTCTATATCTGGAGCATTTACAGGTATCCTAAATGCCAGCCAAAGCATAAACAGTATTGTTTTGCTTTTTTGAGACATGCCAAATCACTTTTGGATTGAGATTTGTAAAATTCCCTTCTGGGGTGCTCTGAAATATGATGTCAAGGTTGTGAAAATGTCTGACTAGCTGTTTAATGAAGACCTAATCTAATAAATGCTGCAATGAATAGAAAAACCTCATTTTGTCTCTGGTCATTTTTAGATGAAGACACCAGTCTCCTGAGAATCCTTACAAAATCTGGAACAGTGTAGCCCAGTTCAACACCCAGTAGCCAGAAAGTTGACTTGGACCAACAACTGAGGAGTTTTTGGTCCATCATTTCACTTTGGATATTCACAGTGGGGACATGAGGAAAGTTTGTCTTTCTCCTATTTCACAAGAATTAAATCCAAGCTCAGTGCCCATCACTGCACATTCAACACAGCAAACCCTCAGTCCAGTATCTGCATCTCCCCATGCTCCTCAGGATTGAGGGGGAACCACCTACCAGCAGCCACCTTCCCTGGTAACTTTCTGTTCTCAACCCACAGTTCTTCATGGTCATGTCATTTGTTTCAGCCTGTTTTTATTGACTGGGTAAATAACTCCCTTGATTACAGCAGTTACAGTTTTCCCTGGGGTTATGTTTGGCAACAAGCTGCTCACCCTTCTTTAACTGCACTGCTAATTAGGAGGTCTGTGTTTCCCTTCTTGTCAAAAGCAACTAAGCTCCCTGCCACTGGAACTCTTTCTTTCCCCGTTCTCCTACGGTGAGAGAACAATGATTGTTTGCTTGGTTACGCTTCAAGTCTTCTGGATGCTTTTAATAAAATCTGTAATTAAAATTTTGAGAGGATTTCCACCTCCCGCTTCCCCTGTGTCTGAGCACATCTTGAGCACAACTTTTTAATGGCAATAAACAAAACCAAAAAATAGTTAATTGCACCCCCAGCATGACTCTGACATTTTTCTGAACGATGCAATACTCTTGGATGGCTACATGTGAATGTCTAAAAATGTCAGTGTTGTATTTGTAACAAGCAACCTGACTCCATTAACTAATTATGGGTTAGAGGGAAAACACTGCCAAACCTTTTGTAGTGTTCAAATACAAGGATGATGGACTTTCTGGGAAGACAGAGCAAGCTATTAGTGCCCTTTTGTAGGTTTTAGAAGAAAGCAGCAATAGTCTTTAACCTGTTTAAATGTATAAAGAACGTGGAAGGCTTGAATGGACTCCAGCTGAAGCCAAAAACAAAACTAGACAAGTCAATCTAAGCAGAAATGAGCCCAAAACATTCCCACATGGGAAACTGATAACATTAACATTTCTAAATACTGAGTATGTAATACTTTCTGCCATCAGATATCACAGACTGAGAGTTTTGTTTTAGACTCTAAAAAAATTAGACATTTATGCTTCTAGATAAAAAATAACCACAAGAGATTGTGTTCATCTCACATAACCTGTTTATAGCCAAAGGAGGGAGAAAGGCACCTCCTGAGACTTACTCAGTTTTTCATTTTTCAGCTCCAAGTTTAAAAATGAGATGTGCCCTTAACTTACAAGAGAACATACATTTCAAATTTGTAATCAAGAGAAGACAATTTTTTAAGCAAGACATACTACACTTTCCACATCTGGGCTACAATAAAAATTTATTATAAATATGCCACTGATCACTACCAGAACCACAAATCTGGAATATACTGAGGATGCAGCTTTCTGTATCCAGACAACGTGCACTTGAAAGGATTTTGTATTTTTCTGAATAGTAAAGTGTTGGCCCTTGCTTGAGGTAGACTGTTCAACTAGATGAACACAGATTTGCTGGGAAGACTGTCATGTACTTATTAATGCATTCTTATTCTTACATATTTTCATATTCTTTTAAGAGGTTTATATTACATTTTAAAACCTCAACCTGACTTTCTGAAAAAAAGTCTTTATATAGTCGTTGAACAAATAATATATTTATTGGCTCTGAGGAAACATACTATTCCCTACTATAAAGTGCCCTGTTCAATACTTACAAATCCTTTATCACTTTGTACAGTAACATTTCCATATAGTTTGATTTGAAGGCATCCAAATGGTTTTGAGTTTTGGGAACCCCTTTTGTACTAAAAGACTGCATAGATAGGTTATTACAATGCCTTAGGACAGAAATCACAGGTATATTTAAAAACTTGAGCCTAGGAGAAGGTGATGTGATTTATGCCATATCCGTGCAGCCTTCAGCATCTATTATGAAGATATAAGAAATGGCAACTCTGTCACATGCAAAATGTTAGATAAAGTGACACGGAGATGGATTGAAAACTGGCTGAAATGCCAGGCTAAAAGGAGAGTAGTCCAGTAAGGACTACTACTTCAGTGAAAATTCCTATACAACTTTCTCCATATATTTAATTTCGGAGTATTTTCATTTCAGAAAACTTTGAAACATCTTCAGATTTGACTTTGTGAATTTTTATTTATTATTTTTAAGTGTTTCATAACAATCAGGAATAGCAGTGATACAGAATAGAGAGAATGTTTCATTTTTAAAATCAGTGAAAGAGTTAATACATTTTACTGATTGAAATGGCTTCTTTTTTAATATCATATCTCAGGTTGATTCAGTTCAGTGCACAGGGAATCTAGAAAAAGTATTCTAGCCAACCACAAAATAGTAATTTATCTTCAATTTTCCAGAGTAAAATTAAAATAACAAGAATATCTCCTCTATGTACATGCAGTATGCTTGCTTGTGATAGTGCCCATTATATACTACAATAGGTATTTTATGAAATAAATCAACATTAAAAAGATATGAAATTAAATTATCAAAGTTTTAAAATAAGTTTTGCATATTAACTTCTATGTGAAAACCCCATTTCATCAGAAAATAAAACTGTGTCTTCAGGCAAGGAAGACATTTCAAAAAGTCCTAATTTCCAGCAAATTAGGAAATCTGTTTAGCTCTCTCAATTTCTCCAGTTTATGAGTGTTTTACTAATACATTTCACAAGCAGCATTTGAGAAAGAGCATGACACAAAAAGAGGAGGACCTGATCCCCTGGATCTCATATATACATAAACCAGAGCCGAAAGTCACCCACATAGCACAGAAGTCTTTCTGGACATTTCCAGACAGATGTTTGAAGCCTCAGTTTCCCTGGAAGGAAAATGTCAGCACATTAAAGATACTCAGTGACATCCAGAACCATGTTCTGATGGTCTCTGGTGAAAGAGCCTACTCAGGGAATGCTAAATAACCACACTGGCACCATGTGCTGGGGAGGGACCCTGGGGAAGGGGAATGTCCCTATGTTGCTTGAGCGGGACTGCTTGAGAGGAACTGGCCCTGCCTGCTGGGCTGATCTGCCATGAGAGACATTTGCAGGCACAAACGTAATTACTTTGTTTCAAAAGGAATACTGAGATTAAATGAACTGCAAAGAGACAGTAATTACAGGAGAAGCAGAAAACAGTGTCCTTTATGTCCTGTTTTGGTATATCTGTCTCCAAAGGCCCCTTATTCACCCCAAAACAGTGGGATCCCATGTTTTTATCACCCTAATGCTGAGATCATTGCAAGAATCAGGTACAAAGCTCTGTGCAGTGCACAAATATATGCTGGAAAAGGGCCACCATGAATTTCCATCGAAAAATAAGATCTGAAACCCTAAAATGTTGGTAAAAAATAAAAGCTCTCTAATGTCTTGGCACTAAGCAAGTATAAGAAATAAGTCAAAAGAGTCTGAATACATATGTCAGATATTAAAAAAAGATCTAAATTCAGTAAATCAGAGTTCTCTAAGTACTGTCTCTGATAGTATATTCTATTTCAAGAATTCTATTTCTCACTATCTTATCAGTACCCCAGTGGTAGTCTCTGAGATAAACAGAAATTATTTTTTTTCTGGCTAACAAATGAATCCTTACAGTCCTGAGCTGTTTAACAGATAAGGACTTTTCTAAAATGGCTATAGTTTGCTCATTTTTCAGATGTCTATCTCTTTTCAGGAGAGTATCAGTTAAAGTTTCCACAGGCTTTAGAGTCAACCTATGGATGCTCATTAACTACCTAAGAACAGGATGTGTGGCTTCTGGGGTGGAAAGCAGGGAAGGATGAAAACAGGGAGAAAGCAGCCTCCGAAGGACAGAAGAACAGATACCGATCTCTTGACTATCCAGTGTAAAAAAGGGAGGAAAGAGTTTGCAGTTCTCTTACTATGTTTTCTGAGGAAAGACCTGCTTCCAGTGTAGGAAATTAGGTAAAGAAAAACATGCAGGTGAAGGCTTATGGGGTCATTTAGTCCGTGATGCTATAGCCCAAACATAGCTCTACAGGAACTAATTTTCAGAGAAGACTTGTTTTGATCTTAGAGACCAAAAGGTCTGTTAGTGTCATGGTTTTGCTTAGAAACTAAGCAGGAATTTTCCCCTTCCCCCTGCCTACTGTGTGAAGGGGATGTTGAATGGGCAGATTGACTGTGGCTTAGGCAATTGAGTAACACAAAAGGAGTAGCTGATAGAACCCACATTCCTAGTTGATGGCCCTCAGGATCTTGTCTTTGGGGAGGGGTAAGGAGTTCTTTTTTTTTTTTTTATTTTTTTTTCCTCTCGTCTCCTGGGAAATGAGGGGGAGGAGTTCAGGTTGCTGCCAGAGCTGGAACAAGGTCAGAGTAGCAGCTCAGAGGTGGCTTTGTTCCCCCTCCTCCGTTCCCATTTTTCTTTCTTGGCAGCAGTTCTCGTGCACATCAAAAGGAGAGGGAAAACTATACCACACAATTCAGCCAACAGGACAGAGTGAGTTCCCGTTGGGAAAAAACCTTTTTTTAATCCCCCTCCTCTCTCTCCCCTTTCCCAGTGGGCGGGGAGGGAAGACCTCCATTTTGGTTTCTTTAGCACACCCAGGAGAGTGTCCCCCCACATGGCAACCACCAGTGATCCAACAGCACCCCCTGCTGACCGGCACAAAGCACTGCAGGCTCTTCATCTCCAGTGATCCAACAGCGCCCCCTACTGACTGTGGTTAGAATTGCACCAAAGAGCACAAGCTGAACTGCTTGCCTCTTTTTGTTTGCTTATTTGTTTGTTTTGAAGGGGATTATTTTTGAGTATAGGAGTACTGTTTGGTTGTTTACTTGTTTTCTTTCCTTGTTTCTGGCAATACACATATATCTTTAAATAAAGGGATGTTATTCTTCCTTTTTCCACACTTTCTTTTTCCTCAATTGGAGCTCTTAATTTCGTATTTACAATTGCTTAGAGGGAGGAGTTTGGTTCTTCCTCATAACTCATCCTCAGCAAAACACCTGTATCTCATTTAAACTGAGACAGTTAGATCATCACTGTTAACGTAACAAAATCTGTTTCTCCCCAGTTACTCCAGTATAAAGTCTGGCAGCATGTATATTTTTTGCATAATGTATATCTTCAGCAAAGGCATACTGAAAACCTTGAAAGACACCCTGCTTTCCCCTGGGGGCTTGCTGTAATGGGTCATGTTAGAAACATTTGTTTTATGTCTAATTGGAATCTGACTGTTTTCAGGTACCTGTCACTGCATCTTATTATCTCTGTGTCTGCTAGAATAAATGGGCTTTTCAGGCTTGGTATCTTCCTCCCAGGGGAATCCTCATGCAATCCTGTCATCTTTTGGTCTTCTGCTTAGTAAGATGTTAAGATATTTAAATCTCTTCCTGTAATGCACTTTTTTAAAAAATAAAATCCTCCCTCCTCCTTTTTTCTTTTTTTTTTAGTATTT